GGGCGTAGCCAGAATTTTTCAAAGGGGGGGGGGGTCACAGAGGCTACTCACCATTTACACCGCTGCTCTCCCGCGTGTATCAGCGGGATCAGTCGTATTATCGCGGCATGAAGGCCCATATTAACTAAATACAAGAGCCGTTGACGAGAATACTGTACAAAAAAAACCAAATTTTAAAAAAGTGGGCTTTTCAACAATGGCTTTTACGGCCAAGATATTGTCATGGCGTTTTTACCACCTGAATATTGTAGGCTGTTTGCTCTAAAGAAGGCCTATCAAGGGAGGTCACGGGCACCCCAGGACCCCCCCTGGCTACTGGGCTTAGCCACAAGTTGCTCGGCAACTTTTCGGCAACTTTTGAGATTTTGGGCAACTTTTTAGAATTTTTGTAACTTTTAGAATTTTCGGCAACTTTGGGCTTTTTGAAGTTTTTTGAAGCCACTTTCTTCAACTTTTTGAGCCACACTGGTCAGTTTTCGATAGACATTTATTCAATTTATTCTAAAATACAATAATTAGGGCCTCCCCCCATGGGTTGACTTTTGTGGTCACGAGGTTAGCGGTATCACGTTGCACGTTTTTCAAGATGGCGGACAATTACAGTGACTATTTGTTGATCAAGTGAAATGGAAAGAACCTCTGATATTATCATTGGACTTTGACAAATAAAGTTTTGATAAGAAGCAATGTGCAAATTTTTAGTCTTTAACACCCAAAAAAGGTACGAAAAGCAGAAATATTTTGGCAACTTTTCGGCAACTTTTTGAAAATTCAGCAACTTTTCGGCAATTTTTGAAAAAATAGCAACTTTTTGGCAACTTTTAGACACTTTTATCGGCAAATTTTTTGGGATTCATCGGCAACTTTTGGCTAGGCCTACTGGCTACGCCCTTGCTCCACAATCTTCTCTTTACATTTCCTTTGGCACTGACAAGAAGAATTCTTTTAAAGCTTCTTTTTCAGGTTGGCAATCATTTCCTTTATTTCCATGATCTTAACCAATGAGTAAGCAGTGTTACTATAAAGGGTGATGATTAGACGCTGGTCACTCCGAGCTTGGAGTTCATAAAAGGAAGAGTCATAGAGGCATATCTCTGCTAGTACCTGCGGATGAATGCACTTGGATAGAGGGTTCCACATGGGTCCAGGTCGACTTTGTGTGCAATCTATTTCAGTGATTTACAAATATAGAAAATTATAAAATAAAATAGAAAAATTGTAGTCTACTCGAGCTGTAGATTTTACAAGTCGGACTGGCCCGTGATGATCAAATCCAGGGTGTGAACATGAATATGGGTGGGGCCCGCCACATGCTGTTGCAGACAGAAAGATTCTAACAAATCTAGAAACTGGGTGGAGTCGCTATTGATCGGTACATCCACATGGATATTAAAGTGACCGACGGTCACCAGCTGTTCTTTACATAGAATTATAGTTTCCAGATAGTCACTAAACTCAGTAAAAAAACGTAATCATTCAGATCCTACGATCATCAGAGTCAGACTGTGGTCCACTCTAAAAACTCAAACGACACTTGTCTTAAAAGAACCACGCCCACCCTTTTGACAACCAGCGAGTCCCTGATCAATAGAGCTGTATCGCGGCCATGACGACGATCGCGTTCATGATCTAATAAGTTCTTTCCATCCAGACAAAGTTCTGCTCGGACTACAACATCATTAGGGCATAGTAAAGTCTCTGTAACAGCGACTTGGTCAGTTTTGCACTGGCAAATATAATTATAATTTGACCCACTGTCTGCTGACCTGTTCCTGACGGAACGCGAGTTAAGTAGACATAGAGACACTAGTGCACTTGACATTTTATTGAAAGGTACTCTATTAACAGTGATAAGAGTCGACGGGTTTCTTGACTGGATAGACAAAGAAAGGTGGCGAAAACGAGAATAACGAGAATGAAAAGTTGTAATATCGTCGTGGTCACTAGGGCCGGGATTCAGTTTGAACCAATATTCTCTTGGTTTAAACACCAATTTTGCCTTCCAACAATAATAATAATAATAATAATGATAATCATATAGTCTTTATTTCAGTTCAAAGGATAAAAACATATCTTATGTTTCAATATATTTAAAACTAAACTAAACCGTGCTTAAAAATTAACCTATTTACAAACGTGGATTTGATGAAGTGTTGGGTATTAACTTTGGGGCAAAAGCACCCTTTCCTACGTAGATTGTATGCAATATTTTTCTCTTCAGGAATGATGTGTTTAAGAGGCTGCGAGCCCAGTGAGATCTCCTTATCAAAGCTTTTTCTGTCGTGTGTCTCTAAAAGGCTTGAAATAATGAAGTGACAGGAACTGCATCGCCACTTGTAACATTTATCTAAGAAGCGCTGGATTTGTTTGAGGTCTGATTCAGAGGCTCCATACACTGGAAGGCCATACTGATGTCAATCAGGCCTGGATGTCAATATTGGTAAAACAATAGATCTAAAGACGTGGTCTATTTCTCGCTGACTATAGCGTTCTTTCCTGAGAATTCGCAGAACGTGTGGGCATTTTTTTTGCTTTCATTAGCTTTAGCTTTGCGCGAGTGCTAAATTTGCAGTCACTCTGGAGCGTGAGACCCAGCAAAACAAGATTGCTACTTTGGGTGATGTTGTGAACTGGCTGGTAGTCTTGATTGCCGTTTGTCTTATTAAAAAAAGAAGTTCTTTACATTTGCTTAGGTTGCACGACATACTGTTGTTTCATGACCATGTCAAAAACTGATCCACTAATAAAGTAGAAGTATCCAAATTCTGCCACACAGGGGTGACTATTGTGGAATCATCTGCGTATTTAAAAAGAGCAGGAGTGTTGTTATACTCGATTCGAGGTCACTCAAAAATATGTTAAAAAGATACGGACCACTTACGCTGCTATGGGTAGTACCCTTATTAGATAATTTCCAGTCACAGGAATATTTATTGAGGCTAATGCGCTGTTGTCTACCAGATAAGCAGTGTCTACCAGGCAAGCAGTGGAATGTTGCTGAAGACTTGGAATAAAAAAAAGGTTCGGGAATCAGGGTTTAGCACGTTTGATCTTCCAGGCTATAACGGGACAAGAGACAAAAAGCATCAGGAACGTCCAGATGGTTAGTTATATTGCCCAAGATATAACAGGATGATAAAGAGCTCATTATTGTTGTAATCCCACCAATTGTTCGTTGAAGGTAATATCTTATCATGGATGGAATTCCGTCAGCAGTTCGTCGAAGAAATACTCGAATACCCATAAGACCAAATCTCACCATATTTCACTGCATTACCGCAGTAGGGCAGGACTAGAACGGAACATATGCGATCCAAGCGAGTAGTCCACCCATTAAATTCCACCCATCCCACCCCAGGGGAGGACATCCATCACACAGTAATCTCGTGCGTGGGAAATTAAAGTCTCCTACCCCTAACCCTGTAGGAGACGGGACCTCTATTTATTCGTCCCTATCCGAGAAGACTAGAATATCTAACCATTACTTGATGTTATAGAAAGGTAGCATATTCTTCTCAATTATTTTAAGACCTTGAGTGTTGGTCCGGCCGGGGTTCGAACCCTCGACCTCCCGCACAACAGTCCAGCACTCCATCCATTGAGCTAACCGGGAGGCGAACAAAATCAATGTAGAACAGACTGAAACTGCCAAGTATTCTTGAAAATTTGCGTTGTATTTAGCCAACTTTGTGCTCAGGGTAGAAATGACTCTATTTATCCAAGACGGTTAGTTGAGAGACAAGTTAGGAGAAAAGGTACAAAAAACGGCGGAGCCATTGGAGCCCAGGCAGCGTTTGCATTCTACGAGAAGTAACTACCGAGGGTGGAGACTTCCTAGTTATGGGTGGCTGATAAGGATGTACCGCTGGATTTGGACGCATTTTCACAACTGGAATGACTGTAATAAGGTTGCATTTTTAAGAAAGTTACTAAAATGGGGTTTCACATTTTCGGGTTTTTGGGGTATACCATAAAAAGTAAGGTGGTTTAGTTTCAGTTTCACAAATTTGTCAATTTATTATGGGTGGGGGGTGGCTACTTAGAAGGCGTTATAAGGTTCATGCACAAACAAGTGACTAATCGTTAAGATTGCATTTTCCCAAAAGTTACCTGGTGGCCAAGATGGGGCCTATAATTGGCCACAGAATTGACTATAATGGGGTAGGGGTTCTAAGAGACCACGGCACACACCGCAGCAAAAATTTGACCCAAGCATCCCCGCCCCACCCGAGAAACAGGGAAGGTAGTAAACTCTAATGGGCATCAGCGAGCTGTTAATATCTTTTCAGCTTAAATACACCGGCTTTTAAAACATGTTACCTAGGATTATATTGCGCCTTTTGCGTGACATTTGCATTTGCGGAAACCGTAACGGTTGTGATATGATCAAGGTTATAAAATATGACAACGACGACAAAGCTCTCATCAATGGGACCGTCCTTGAAAGTTATTTGGTAGTACGATCAGATTGCAATAACGTGATCAAGAAAGTGATCATGGGGGGTTAGAAATCAAGACTGTGATGCATGTAAGGTAAAAAAGCGAAAAACAGAATCATTGACCAGAGCACATACCTCGTTCCAGGTTTTTCGAGAGTAAACGCAGAAAATCGCATTTCAGCTCTAGCCGCGAGAGATAACTAGCCTCCTGGGCTAATTTAAACAGGATTTTTGAAAATTCAATCGCTCAAAACGCACATAATTTAGTTTCTGCATCATCATAAACTGGGTCTAAACAGCTGTACTTTGTATAGAGTGACAGAATCATTTCAGAAAAGGCAGGTGAAAATCTCCTTTTCATTCTTATCTCCTTCTTATCCGTTATTTTCTCTTTCTCTCTTCCTTTTAGCTTCTTTTTTTTTTTAATGAGCTTTTCTCTTGGATCCGTTTTTCGTCCATTGTCAGGCTGTCAATAGGTGAAACACTATCTCCGCTGATGCAAAGGAAGCGAAGGGTCAAGAATTCCCAGCAGCCAAACGCAGGAAACTAAGTCTTAAATCACTTGACTGAATGAATGATATCTTTGTTTTCTAAGTCAGTCACAGCCCTGGGGCGACGCCATATTGGCCGGGCAGAATTGAAACAGAACCGATTTCTACGGGATAAATTTCCACCGATATTCATTGTGATCTCGAGAGCGCTGTATGTAGGACTACACAGGAAATCATCGTGGTTATGAATTCCTTCCTAACTGTGTTCGGAGTCGTCCTTCTCTGTGGGATAAGCCTGAACCAGGCTATAACGCCATGTCCAAAGCAGTGTGTTTGCGAGGAGCAATTTTTCCCCGAAACGCAAGGCTTTGGAGCGAAAGTGAACTGCTCAGGGAGAAAACTGAAGAAGTTTCCTCGGCCTCTACCATATGTAACTACGACATTGTAAGTAAATGCGTTATTTCTATTCAGTGTTCATGTAAAAGGCATTTGTTTAAAGGCTAAACGTTATTAGAACACGTTCTCAATTATGCATGACTTAATTATCAGTTTGCATATTGAGTAATCAAGTAAAAAGAGTTTGATCAATTAGTCAATTACACAATCTGTTATCACCAGTACAGCTGCGTGTATAAGAAGCCATATGGATACAATTGATGAAGAGATCTATTAGCAAACGAAAGGATTCGTGTGTGCGTAGAGACGATGAATTATTACGTCACAAAAGAGTTCTTTGTGATGCTGTTTCCTCGATCTAGCTATCCGGCAAAGGCAAATGATAAATCTTGATGACAGCTAATCAAACGTTGCGAATTACGACAACTGGAAAATCGATCATTAGCCAATCCCATTGCAAAATCTTTTGCCTAAATTTTCTTCGCGAAGCTTTTGATATTTTTGTTCGGGCTCAATTCTCGATAATTTCCTCTCGGTGTATGGTGTGAGACTGGAATTCAATTACAAAACATCTACCAACTTTTTTTTTCTACCAGTGTAAATTACGATGTTTATCGATTATGAAAACGTTTTGGAGTCAGAAAGAAAAAAAGATGGACAGAAAGGAGTGAATGCTTTTAATCAGAACAGTCCATCACTATCGATTGCCAAATTGTTTTGATCATTCGATAAGGGATATCCCCAAAGAAAATATTTTCTTTCTGACATAATCATTATCAAGCAAAATAACCCATACCTTGAGAAATCGAAGTATCAGTTTCCCGTTGAGTCTCTAAAATGATGGAAATTAATCAAACTTGCCGCAATTTGTTTAATTTTGGCATTAAAATGAAACTGCCAGCTTCACGCTAATTTTGATAGCATAATTCACGAAACGCGATCTCTCCTCCACCCACCGCCCATCCCTTGTGGTGAGGGAGAAAGTGCGTTGCGTTACAAGACCAAATAACAGCTGCAAAGGAGACTGTAGATAGCACACCTAAGGCATTTTACCGGGAAAATTAAAGAAAATAGCCAAAGAGAACAACATTCTTGACCAGCAGTTGAAAGGAAAACTTCGAACTAGCTGTAATACAGGAGACTGCTTGACTAAAATGTAGCTGGTGTGTAGACTGAAGGGTTTAAGGTTGAGACACGTTTCCCCCTAGAGCTTATAACAGACTCAGCACTCTTGGGAAGAAAAAGGCAGCACTTGGCGAATTAACGGTTGTGAAGAATTTGTATAGACCATGCAAAGATAACGCTAATAATCCAGACATTTGTGTGGATTTGGTTTGGTAAACCTCACTCTTGGAGATGTTAAGTAACAACCTCATCCATTTTAGAGACTGTCCTGGGACATAGATTGTAAAGGAGAGAACAGTATTCATTGTAGAGTACGCGTGGCCGAACCTCCCCTCCCCCCGGGAAAAAACGTAAAGGAGGGAACGTTCTCTCCCTTACGTCTCTCTGGGAGGGGAGGGGAGCGGAGGGTACGGCTACACGTATACTGTCTTTATTAGAACTAGTTATGAGTACAAGGTTGAATGGTTTCTAAATCAAGAAGCTATCTTTTATTTTCTGACATACACCAGGCTACTTCAGAACAACAGATTATCCAAGCTGGAAGGAAGGCACTTCCACGGAATGATCTATCTGAGGACCTTGTAAGTGTCTGTAGGTAGTAGTGACCAAGCTCGTTCTCAAGGTGAACATTGCGCAACTTCTTGCAAACATGCAACGCTCGCCCACTGGGGTAGGCATTACGTAATTGAGGGCTACGGAAGAGCTACTGTATCTGCCCATCATCAAGACACAGGATCTTGTAAAATGCGACAGCTCAATATCGCTCTTAGATCGCGCCATAATTTTTCCAACATCCTACCAAGTTCTTAGCGAGATCGCCCCAAGATATTTACATTTTAGACATATGATGAATGTGATAAACAAAGTTATACCTAGCATAGCAGTCTTGCGTATGGAGTGCTCCGCGATTCCCCAACATCTTGCTAAGGTTCCGCCGAGAGACCCCGTCGAGATCGCGCCAAGATCTCATTTATCTTTCATTTGGGGACGCATTTAGAAACTGGACAACGGCCAGAAGAGGCCAATAACTATTTTCACAGTCATTACGCTCCGAAGTTGATTAATTTTCCTGTTAATTAATAATTCATCTCTACGCAGGCACCTCGAAGGTAATCGAATAAAAAAGATTGGAGCAACTTCCATGGGATATCTTCCTTCTCTTCAAACTTTGTAAGTTGTTTGAAAAATTACGGATCAAACCAATTAAATTACGAGGATTTCTGGAATATATTGGTTTTCTGTAGGAGATAATTCTTATGAAAAAGAAAGTCGACATACTTCTGTTGAATAAATTTTCCTTGTTAATGAAGGGACGTGTGATATTATGCACAGGAGATGATGCGTAAAACAGTTTGCTCCCCAGGAGTTAGAGAGGAAGTGATAGAACCTATGGCCGGATAAGACTCGGATAGTGAGGTTAGATCTAGGTGATCCACAAAAAAGGTTTTGCCAGGCGTTTTACCGACATTTTTTGCCCCTCCAGATATTTGCAGAACAATCGTATCGAAGAACTGGCTTTTGGAGCATTTAGGAATTGTTCAAGACTTCTAACTTTGTAAGTAGGGCAGACTGACAAGCCCGTTTTTGGTTGTTGGTGAGATAGTGGCTGACTAAATAATGATCAAGTGAACCAATAAGATAGTGTCGCGTTAAATTAGAAAAGTTGAAAGGGGGAGGGGGAGGGGAGGG